TTTTAAACGGCGTGTCCAAGACTATTTATTTCGATGTCAGGGTAGAGAGTACGAATAGATGCTGGAAGTCAGTCTGTGGTATGGTATAGGCGTTTTCTTTTTGCTTCGCTAGCGCTCTCTACGTTGTTTCCATCGCAGTTCTTTAATAAATTATTTTTTATTTCATTTCGTTTTTATGAGGCTAAGTGGAAGAACAAGTCATTTATCTTATTCACCTGAACCTTCGCCTTTCGACCACGTTTCTATTTTTGTGTAATTTGTACATAGTTATTGTTGTACTACGAGAAAGAAACGTTAACTTCACATCAAAAAGTAATTAAAGTCATGTAAATGTTATTTGAGCGTAAATAAAATTGTATATAATATGTATTGTATATAAAATTGTATATACTATATATTATTCATTGTTCACGTTTATTAACATGAACATTTCAAACAAAACCGTCAGGTATAAATTAAAACTTGGCATTAATATTTTCCATATCATAGATAGCAGAACTAGGTCAAATATTGCTTTAGGCCAAAGGGACGTTACACGATAAACAGCACGTAACGTCACTGCATAAGGTGAGGTCGAGGAGATCCAAGTTCCTAAGATTCCTGCTTTGGAGATTGGCCGTTGAGTGCCAGAGTAGTCCGGCAAATTTCGCTTTGTCTAAACTATGCCGAATATTCACGAGAATCTCCAAGCCCCCTTTAAAACCGTTTATATATACAATACAACTAATTTATATTTATAGTTTAGGTAAAAGCGTCCATTATTGTAATATAATGCATAATTCAATTGGATTTAATTATAACGCCCAGGTGGTTCGACTTGATTGAATAAATATAATTGTGAAAATTAGGCAATATTATACGAGGGTAATTTAAACAAAAAGGACACCACATATACGCACATTTGAATGAGTTCAAATCTATATGCGCATTTATTAATGAGTGAACATTCCTCTCTATACCTACCTATACATATAAAACCTAAATAAAATGGATAGTACTAATTAAAAAGGGGCTCGTAATACGCGAAACCTGTCCAAATTTAATTTAATTGCCAGCGGTAAAATAAATACGCGCGAAATTAATTCGCGGCGGTGAGCTCTAATTACAACGCGAAAACAAACAAAAACTTAACTTAAAGCAAACACACGTCCGTTTCTAAATTCAATATCATACTCTGGAAACGCGTACACACATACCACACCTTCAAAGCAACCCTTCGTTTAAAACTACGAATCCTCTTTAAATTCAACATTAAAACCTAAAACTCATATTCTGCATTAACCAAACCGCTACAAAGTTAGAACTCATCGTGCTTCCTAGTTATTTAGATACGACATGCTGCTCGAGGGTCTCAATTTCGCTATTAACTTGCAATAACTTACACGCCCAGCTCATATCTGTCAAATAACGTTACGTTCACCGCGTGGAAAAATCGACCGAAACGACATAATTAAGTCTCCGAGCGTACAATGGCTCGTCCAATTAAGCTAACAAGGACGACCCTGTTGGTACTGGGTACAAGGATAATAAATACTGGACACCTACTACCCTTAACTAGTTCTAGGAAGTTATTGGATAACCAACACAATGTTTATTTTATTAAGGTAACAATTATATGAAAAAAATAAAAGGTAATAATAATAGCAACCGGCTCCTCCACCATAAACTTTAAATTGAATTCTTTCTTTCAGTTAACACTATAACCATTTAAATAAATAGCAGACACCTACTGACCTGTAAACGGACTATTTGCGGAATGCTTATTGGACAGATGGTGTGCAGCGGGTGTCACACAATACACGGAAACACTTTCGAAATAACACTTCCGGTGGCCTCGACAGTCTGCGTACAAGCGGAGGGTTTCGTGGCGACTGAAAACGGCCGACGTTTGGAGTGCAAAGCACGCTGACCTCTGGCGGGCTACCGAAAGAAAAAAGATCCTTTTTCCAAGAGGCAAATAATCTCGGTAAATTCACTGGAAATGATGGATTACAAAAAAGAACGATTTTTTGAGTAAATATTCTAAAACACGAGGTTTCCCTCAAATAATTTTAATTGAGGAATCAATTAAACCGATATCCTCATATGTCTATCTATATGGCAACACTTAATCATTTTGATGAGACCTGGTTTACCGCTTAATTCCTATTCTACGGAGGTAATGGCTATTACCTCCGCGATAACTGATTGGAGGCAAGGGATAGAGAGGATAAAGGAGGATTTCATAATGCGTATGTGTACTTAATATCTGTTTTCCTATTTAAACGGTAATTATGCAAATATAGGGAGAACCAAAATCAATATTTTATTTGATACAACCATAAATTTTAATTATACCAAGGAAAACTTTGTAAATAACATTTTTAAAGTCGGATTTATTGGCCGAGAGACTATTTCATATCCCGCCGGGTAAGCAATTGAAGTGTCTCAAGTGTGGTAAAAATTTGTTTTAATTTAAACACAAAACGGTCGGAAATGTCGCCATCGTCAGTTCCTAAGGGCTTTGAGTGGAACTTATTGTCGCCATTTCAGCCTGATTACTTGTTTCCTCTCTGCTTCAAAACAGCAATTTTAATTTTAACCCGACGTTGAAAATTGTAAAAGCCCCTCGGGCTAAAAGTACAGTTAAAACGAATTACTATTTTGAATTACACTTATAATACTAATAAGTGATTAAATGATTTAAAGAAGTCACACGTGGTTAAAAATAGTAAGACGGCTTTTTAATATTAAACTCGTAACTTTTGTCATGACGTGGAAGTTTCGTAATAAATTTTCTGCCTTGGTGCATAGAAGGATTCATTAAAGCACCGCGTGTCTTTTTAAAAAACGATTTTCTATTGTAACCAAGTCGTGAGACAAGTTTTTGGAACGCACATTCAACGCTCTCAAGTTTCCGGCAAGTTTAAAATTAATTGTACACAAACTCGATAATAATAAAATCTTACACTTTGTCCAAAGCTACGACGACTTTTCAGTTAAAAGAGCTTTAGTTTATGGGAAGTGAATTGTTTACTCTCGCAAGTTTTATTTGTACAAGTTTTCCTGCTCGTAATTGTTAATTAATTTTGTAAACTTCGACTTTAAACGATGCGAAACTTGTTACGAAATTTCAAGGAAACATTGATAAAGCACGTTGTTCTACTTTGGTCATTTACAAAATCTTATAGATTAATCTGTTAGTAGAGGGAAAAACTGAAAAGTATTATTAAGGTTGGTAATTTCTCTACGCAGGAAAGCACTAATTGGTCCGCTCCTCCACTCCCAAAGCCGCCAAGCAAAATAAAAACTAATTACTATCCCCGGGCGGATGTTTAAAAAAGCTCGCGCGTGCCTATTGTGTAGGTTTTTAGTTAATTAACGTCGAAAGCGACTCTGTCGACGCCTACGTTTTAATTAATGGAAAGGCCGAGTGAACGTATTTTACAGGATTAACCGCGGTTTTACCCGTTTGATGTCGTCTACGGATTTGCATATTCTACCTCCGAAGAACTTATTAAATAACGTCCCGTTTTTCACTTCTCCCGAGAGCTTAATCTTCACAATCTATCCCCTTAGACATAATGGGTCCAGAGCAAACTTTTATCTTTTGATGTATACGAGAAATTACTCTTTTGCACTTCGCGTGCTACAATTACGTTCATTTGCAGCCTAGTTTTCGTGGTTAAACTACACAACGTTGACAACAAGATAGCATTTGTAACATTTTTTTTACTTTAAGAACACGCAACCTACATTAATCTTTGTTCTTAGCGGTTCTGTTGTTTAAATCTAAGAAATAGATGAAGAACAGAAAAAAATAATCCATGTGAATCAATACTTAAAACCAAACAACGCGTGATCCATTAATAAAACAAACAGTAAAATACCAACAGAATGGTACACAACGTTTTTCATTCGTTGTGCGTGCGCAGTTATGTTCGTTTTTTATTATTTATTTCATCCGAACGTGCTCGTCAATATATCCACACAAGCAACTTTTTGAAATGTTTATATGGTACAGGAACGTTGAGCCCGGGGTTCCGTCGCCCGTTTTTGTTGTTTTATTTACGCTCATTTAGCCGGTCGTATATCTCCCAGTTAGCGGTGGCACCCAAAACGAGATGAGAGGACCCCATCCCTCTACTCCAGTCCGAACATTTGAATGTATGACAGTGGAAATTGCATGTTCGGGCCGGCGGATAGTTCGTTTTCGCGATTTTGTTTATGGGAAATAAAATAATGACCGCACACGGAATTAAACATCGCTCGGTGCACACGCTTTTCGATAACGAAAACACGAAACGTGTACAAACATTACACGATTCCAACCCCTATTCACTACCAAATCGGCTGTAAATTTTATCAAAACACTCCGAAAATGTAGTTAGTTGTGGTTTGTATAACGAATATAACTAAATATGTTCTAATAGATAATTCAAAATTAAAAGATTTTTTGTACTATATTTTTTTTGTTTAATTTCTTTTTACTTTTTTATCTCTTGCGAAAAGAGATTAAAAGTAACTAAAGCCGAGACTCCGACGGTGTTTAAGTTTTAATTCCACGGAAATTGGATACCTAACGAGCACGGCTTCCCCGGACAAGTTGTTTAGTGTAACCGAGTTGGGGTTAATTTGTCGTCGCCGTTAATTCGTCTCTGCATTGTGCAGTTATGAATAAGTTGAAGGAACACAAAGCTGAAATAATTTCGTATTCATGTTCATCCAAAACTTTACTAATCTCAACTCGAATTTACTGTTTTCCGTAATAAAGATAAAAAATTAAATAACAAAAAAAGTACTCACATTGCTGATCATTTTCTTCTTTAATTTAGGAGACACAATTCAGGATGCACTCACTAGAGAATTACGGACAATATTACTTTGGAAAAAGAACTGGTGACGCTTTGAACGGGAAGGAAACAAAAACTGGTTTTTGGAACATCTGGTGGGGTTTGGGAAATGAGGAACCTAAAAAAAAACCTTTATTATAAAAAGAACAAAGAAATAAAAATGATAACTGTGTAGTTACAGAGTTTATTTTTACGTATAATAAAAATATTTCTATTGATAATCACATATTTAAGAAAATAACGTAGTTACAACTCTAGGAAATATTATAATTAAGGATGCAGAAATCGGAATAAAAATTATTAATTTAGTGAAATTGTAAAAGTATCATCAAAATCGTTTCAATATATATCAATAGCCGCTTTGTTTTGATCAAATATTCGATTATATTTATTTTTTAACATGGACACAAATTCTTCTTTTAAATTTTGAAGACACCTAAAAAACAAATAAAGCATTAAAAAGAATCGATTACAATATAAGCTTGATTTGATGAAAACCTGAATGGCAATCAATTTAAACAAATCAATATAACCTGGGCGTCAAATTACGTTATTTCAATTAACTAAAATCAATACTCGTTACATCAATGAAAGGTTTCAAAGCAGTAGCCGAACTTATCCTACGATATGATAGATGATGTTATAAAAACATTTTACTTGATTGGTTCACATTATATTAAAGAAAATTTCATGAAAAGAAGATGTGCCCAATTTACCTCAAGAGAATCTTTCTTTAACCTTTTAACTATTCCTATGACGTCATAAGCTCAACAAATTAGGTTGGAGACTTATGATCTCTCGACATTTAAAGATGAAGTTAACAAAATAAGATTTAAAAATGTGAAACACGAAACAATTAGAAAAGATGAAATTCATACCGTCATTTTAAACCTTGTAACCACTATAGCTTATTAAACCTTCAAGAAACCCTCCGAACTCCATATTTAATGACGACGGAAAACCTAATGTCACCAAAACAAAGATTTGGATTACAATAATGAACTTGAGTTTGTAATAATATTATTGCGCCAAGTAACGTTAACCGGTTTTGCAAATATGCATTTTAAGTCCTGTTTTGCATAATTTATGAAATGCTGCTGAAAAAATACTGTAAAGAAAACAATCTAATCGAACATATTTGTGAGCTGTGGGAAAGTTTGAAGCAAATTGTTATAATAAAGCTGCAGATGCGGAATATCAACCCACCGCAGACAAAAAGAAAACAATTAAAATGAAGACATAACATTAAAGAAGCTAACTAAGAAGAGGAAGAGACGGCAGGATTGAAAAAGGATAGGGCTGGGTAAGATGAATGAAGAAAATAAGCTTGATAGGTTATTACTTATTACATTCGGAGCAGGAGCCGAAGAAATTAATGGAATCTCTCTTCCCCTTAAATCTAGGTACGACGGAAAATAAAAATTCATTTGAAAGCAACTTCCCAACCCAACTCAATATGACCCGATCGATACAATGAACTGCACGAAGTGTTGAATAATAAGAAAGTAAGGAAGCGAAAAATCTTTTTTTAAAACTAGGAAATGTCATATAGAGGAGCGCAAAACTACAAATCGTAAGTGTTTGTGCGTGCAACGAAAATAGTTTACTTTCAAGCTACCTAACTATAAATTCTCAAATAATGTTGAAGCCAGAAAAAGAATGGCATTTAATGTTTATGCCCTCACTGCTTATTACCTACATCCACTGTATGACAACAAGAGGTTATCGAAACAACAACTAGATGAAATTAATACTTTTCTTTTCTAATGAAGAGTGAAGAATGGGATAGCTTTAGAAGAAGTGTAAGAGCTTTTCAAGATTTACGGAGATAACAAAACCTTTGCTGTACATACAGGGCTTTGCTGGCAGAAATGCAATGTCATGACATGAATTACCGAAATTAGCTATTAAGCTTTTACAAATTCCTGCTTCTTCTGGGGAAATAGAACGGGTGTTCTCGACCCCTACGCAACAGGCTCTCATTCGAGAATTTAAAAAAACTTGTTCATATCTATTATACGTTAACGATGCAAGATACAAGCATACCATTAGTCGAAGATAATGATAGCTACGACGAGGGAGATCCGCAATGTGATAATGTAGTAGATGACTAAGAAAAAACGCGCGAAAAAACTTGCTTCATCAAGTTATTGTCCAAGTTTCGACAAACTTCAAGGGTATAAAGCACATGTTGTCTTTTTTCAACATGTGTTCTGCATCCCTGACTTTGGACGTAATTTGGGCAACAATTTGATGATGCAAGTTGGTTCTTTCGTCGTTTGAATTATATCTAATTTCTTTTTGTTGCTACTTAGTAATATGTTGTTTGATTTAAAAATATGCAGCACATGTTTCTGTTAAAAAAGAATATACGTTCCGTTCATTATTTGAATAAAAATTATTGCCGTTTATTTTGTTTTTTACATTTTTTACGTTTTACATAATTTCTACCGATGTAAATTACATAGTATTATACATGTAAAAAACCATGTAAAATACTCTCTATGTAAATTACATTGCCAACCCTGATTGTAAGTAAACAAACCCTAACGAAGAATCAAGAAATTATAATCAAGCTTCAAAAGAAATATTTTATCAATTAAAGACGTTAAAATTAATATCATAACCCAAGTGTGACTCGGTGTTAATTTTATCTACCAGAAGCGGCAATACTGAGCCGCACTCGCACAGTGGTCAATTTCTCAAAATACATCTGTGACTGTATACCTATAGTATGAGAATATTTTTTTTATTAGAATGGTTCCATTACCACTATCCGGATGTTTAATTAAGAATTTTTCGCGTCTTTAATGTTAAGATTGTTGTATTGTTCATGATATTGTTTTGTTGTATTTAAGGTGTACCGAACTTATATAGTGATAGTCTATTAGCTACAAGGTGGTACATAAGACATTACTTACTTCCACTGACTTTAGAAAATATTAATTAGATTCTGTCTACTGACAATTCAATTCGAACAAAAAATAACATAACCATGATTTAATTTAGTTCATGAATTACTCCCAATTAATCGACTAATGATTTTCTTGCATTCAATCACAAAGCAGGTTTGAATGAGCTTCCTAAACAAAACTGACCACTTCCGGTTACGCAATACAACTAAAATTTAATATCAATATTCAAGGCTCATACAAATTTTCATGCATTTATCTTATTTAAAATGCCAGTTTATATTAAAAATGATGAATGATGGTTAGGTAAGTAACCACTTCCGGTTACGCGGTTCGAGTGTAACAAAACAAAATGTAAATTTTTGGCTCAACTTTGACAGCTCATAGCTCGAAAACAAAAGAGTTGCGACTCTATGTTTATATAAAAAACTTGTGTTATTTTAGCAAGTACTACGTCTAAGGTCTACTAACAACCCTGTATAAGACAAGTTCAATATGGTTTCAAATAAAGTACCACTTCCGGTAGACGGATGTGATCCAAAATTTGATACAAATCCAGATTTTGTTATAAAAAATACAGATTTTGTTATAACAGTTATATAGAAAATTTCGGGTTTTGAACTGTGACCACTGTGACGAGGTTACTGTCAGAATGGGTGGGTTTAATAGAGTTGTATAGTTAACTGTGGTCGGTTTGAGTTGCTAGTAAGAGTCAACAGTACAGAGCTATACTTAGTTTATAAGATTTACAACACAAGCTCATTCAAGGTCAAAACAGCGGCGGTGGTCGTCCTTGGTTCCAACTCTGAGGAGAGGTGTTACTAGATATGCAAAAATAACATCATGAACAGGTGTTTGAATCCTAAAATCACGTATACATTCACTCTTAGTTAACAACTCAACATTATAAAGGTCTGGTTTGGGGTTGAAAGCTTTATTGCAGCTGGATCAAAGCTTGTACAAAAAGTAAATGTTCTCTTAAGGGGGTCATCCTGTGTGACTGTCTGAGGGATTTAGAATCCCACAACGTTAAATGTTTAAACGCGTTTCAAAGCGATGACCACGATATCTCAAAAGAATTCTTTTCAAATTTGAACAACTTATTCAGTACTCATGCAGGCACTTTGCAAACCAGGATAATTCTGATTCGTCAAATTCCTCTTTTGCATGTTGAATAAGTCGCAAAAAACACCAGAATTCAAGACAAAATTGCCAAAGCTTTACTTTTCAATATTTTTTAATAATCCTAGTTCAAAAACTACTTTATACTTCACAGATTGCAATGCCTTTTAGTATTTTTGTTTTTGATAAGTAGAACGCCTGTTATTGTGGTCACAACAAGTTGCCATATAGTTTAGCAATGAGTTAGTATTGCATTTTTAGTCAAAAAATAACCAAAAAAAATTGAAGAAAAGAGCTATAAAAATTACCTATTCAGCCTACAACAATACAAAAATGACATTCATATCTCATGTACAAATATAAATTCAAAAAAAAAACCTATATCATTTTTATCTGTTTAACTTACATTCTATAAGTAGGCGATTTTCTAAATTGTACAATATCATAACTTGGAGCATGTGGTTTATGAATAATAAATGCATTTGGAAGTACCCAAAACTCATAACTTTGCGCTTCCAACTCCATGATATGAGAAACTTTATTCCATCCAAACCCCATAAATCGATTATCATATTGGGTCACATTCGAACTTACAACAATGTAAGGTTCAAAGTCTGGTTCCCAATTAACCTTGTAGGAAATGGTGGAGTGTCTCCATTTGGTATAATTCGTGGGAGCGTGTCCAGAAGCCCAAACATCATAACGAAAAGTGTGAATAAATTTTTTCTCCCACATGGAAATTAATTCTCGTTTACTTTTCGGAAATTTCGTTTTATACCTTTGAGTTTCAAAAGCTGGTACAATAAGTGCCTTTTTGTTCATATTTCCTATCTTTCCTATATTTTCTCTTATAATCACTTGCAAACCATACATAGGAACGAAATCAATATCAGCTAAAAATACGTATGGAGTATTAACGTGTTTTAAAGCGACGTTACGTAAAATGTTAATTGGATGATATTCGCCGTTTTTGAAAACAACATGAAAAGCGATGTTTGTACGATCTTTTACTACATCTAAATTATCTAAGTATTTCATAGCTTGTTGAAATTCAGGGTCGGTCGCATATAAAGTTAAGCTCATTGGACCACCCCAGTGTTGACAAAGTTCTTCAAGTAATTGTAAACGATCGTAACTAAACTGAGCGACAAAAGTAACGTCGTTAACTAAAGGTGTATACTCAAATTTTCTAAAGAACAAGAAAGTCCTCCATTTATTAGTTTTAGCTTTATGAAACTCAGAACAAGCATCTTCTTCGATAGATTCTTCTTGATTTTTAACACCTGAACAATCATACAATATTCTTTTCAACAAATTTCCATTCAATTCCAAAAACGTCGTGTAAATACTGCGGAAATAATCTCCATCTTTGTTAACAACATTAAATTTATAAGGAGAGTTCCAATGAATGATTTTAATACGATGGTTATTGTAACAATTCGCGCTTTGCGTATTTACGCTCAGTTGCGTGTTCCAATAGCAAGGCACTTGGTACAAAAGTTCTGGATACTCTTTTAAAATTGCATTCATAATATCTTGATCAGCTAAAGACGTTTCGCCATACTTTATAGCTGTGTGTTTAGCTACAATATTCCAAAGTTCATCCCAATTCCTTTTTCGAAGTTTTTCAAGGTCATAAAGGATAACACCTGTATTAAAACTACAATTGAGATGATGCTATTGTTGGTTTTGAAGTTAAATTTTAGTTACTCACCCTCTTCCTATAGCTGGCCAACGAGATTTTGATAAATAATAGTCACTTTGGTTGTCGACCAAGCCAATCATTTGGCTGGAATTAAAATTTTTGAAGATATTCCACAAATCGATGATGTCGCCATTAAAAGTTAGGTCCATGTCTAATACTATGAGTTGAGGAATGTGCTCGGAAATGATTTTGTGAAATAAGAGTTTTAAAAGGCCGTAAATACCAGAATAATGATTGTTTGGCACCCATTTGACTTCTTCGACTAGATTACTAATATCGTAAAATGTAACAGAAACTGAATAAAAATATCACAATTAATAAAAAAAAGGATCATTAAAAAAATACAATCACCTTGCGGTACATCCCAAGTCTCAAACAAATTCAACAATACTTTTTCGGATAACTTATTAACTAAAATATGGAAATGCAAAGGATTGCTTCTGTAGAAATAAATAGATTTTAACATGGTGTGAAAATACAAATTAGCTTGGTAACCAGCACAAACAATTCCAATATGAATTACTGTACATTTTTCAGGATTGATTTGATTTTCTTCAAAATCACTTTGGTTATGATTGACTAGGAGTAAATTTGAGTTGTATATATTTCTGAAACGCCCCTTTATCGCCTTTTTTATATGTCCATAAGATTTTTCTGTTTCGTGCACTAAAAAGAAACAAAATCAACCTAACCTCAAATTAATAAAATAAACACTTACTATGAATATACTGTATAATGTAATTAAATATTATGATAAAAATAAGGATAAAAGCCATAGCAACAGCTATCCTATGTCGTGCACAGCAATGTAAAAGCCCATGGCTCTTTTTAAACCGAATTTTGATTATTGATCCTTCAAAACGCTTTCAACAAGCATAATTTGAACTCCACAACTGACTTTTGCACACGTTTCTGACAAACTTTCATTAATTAAATCGATAACATATGAATCATATGATGTTAAGTTAAACACAATATATTGACTAGGAGAAGACGTAATCACTTCTGGACTATGTAGTTTAAATATTATCCGCATGCCGGCGCTAGATCTACTCTACTTTCTAACCTCACATATTTAAAACTAAATTATTTATAATTTATAACATTAATAAATGTAACTATTCTAAACGATCTTGTCTTATTGTTAGAAGCCAATCTCTGTTAAAATTTTAAGAAAACCAAACAAGATTTTGAAATATGCATGATGACAACTAATAATGAGAAATCAGGCGAAGTGCCGACGAAGAAGCTGTAGACATTTATTATACATTACAATTATCGGATAAGAGAAGAAAGAGTACAGAGTAGTAATGAGTTTATATCAAAATTTATCATTAATGAAGAGAACAAATATTTAATCAATGTAAATTTAATGTAATAAAATAGTTGTTAATTGAAGACCTTGCAGCAACAATGAGGCAGCTCCACTTTTTGTTAAAAATGAGTTAAATACACTTTGTTAGAGTTGCATCCAATAAAATAGTAGCCATCAGTTAGTGCAACAACAAGGCACCAACCAAATGGAGTCCTGGTAGAGCTATGTTAAAAAGAACTGCCTCCACCTTTAAATTATAGCAACAAGAAGGCAGCTCCTGTATGAGTTATACTTGAATATGAACCTGCAGTATAACGGTTTTTCATGTTTTTATAGCAGGACTTTAACAGTCGATAGATCTTTTAAAATTAATACAAAAACTTACAGATATACAGATTCATAAAATTACAGTTGGCCAGACAAGTATTGAACATATCTAAAACTACAGAAGTAGTTGTAGTTGCACAATGTACAGGATGTCCAAATTTCGATGGGTTTGCAGGGTATCTCAGTTATTATGAAAGATAGAAAGTTGCGGCTTTCGCGAACCTGAGCTACTTTTTTGTGAAACTTACAATGGCGCAAACCAAATTTTCATAGCCCTCTTCGTTTTTGATATACAGGGAGTGTTTCAAAATTTACGATTTTCAGCCACCTCCTATATCTCAGCTATCCGGAAACGTAAAAACTGGTTCTAATAAATTTTTTCATGTAGAATCCAATGGTGCACGTAGAATTTTTCTAGTCATCGCGGTTTTTGAGTTATAAAGAGTTTAGTATTTTAGAAGTTGAGTATTCGGTATTTGAGTTGTGTTTGTTGTATTTTATTTGAATTGTAGTACAGGGTGTACTACACTTCAGAATAAGCAACTAAAAATGGTTTCCAATAAACAACTGATACATGTTCTTATGGTGAGGTTCAACATATATTGTTCTTCCACCTCACCATAAAGTATATAAAAAGAAAAGAAACAATATAGCGTGTTAAATATAAAAAAAGCAACACAACCAAAACTACCAACAACCTCAAGACCTGGTTCTAATAAAAGAAAAAAGATAAATGATGATCTGACAGCAGAAGCGCTGATCATTTTAACCATTATGATCTGTTATGAAAAAGTATTGCTGTAAGGTTGAGAAGTCTACAAACACGCCAGGCCCTCATAGCAGAAAAAAAAGATAGTTGAGATACTATTTGAACCTGAAATGGGTTATCCGAGCGCATCGTCAATGTACCATTACAGTTCATCTACAAGTCACAGTCCTAATATTACCCACACCGTCCCCAACATATAGACAAGGCACCCATTCCTCTCTCAATACAACACAGCACCCTCTTATTTTTCTCAATTTAATGATAATTCATAAAAAGGAAAGAACAAAACTCAACTTTTTTGAGACTAAACGTTAAGACTAAGCATTAAGTGATTTCCTTTAAACTTCAATGTAACTCAGTATATTGTAAAAGTAATTTAAACTTCATATTTCATGTTACATGCGTTACATGTTTCTGGGATAATTTTTCCAAGAGATTGCGGTGATTTGAAAATTTGTTGCTAGAAATCTCAAGGTAGCTTTCATGGTTAATCTTTCATGTGGAGATATTGCTGTTCTCATTACTGTTTCTTTCTTCTTGATTAATGGAGAAACGAGCGAAAGTAACTTTTGCTACAGTGTTTCTGTCATGCGCAAATAATTGAGGATATTTAATGGTTCTTCACTTAATTCTTTTAATAACCTGATGACCAAAGATTGGTTTCGCCTTTGCAACCACTTCTTACACCATTGTTTACGCATTTTCGATTTTTTACTTTTTTGTAGAATTACAAAAAGGAGACTGAGTAAATGCTGCTCTATCGAATTCATTGTGAAAACTGAAAGATATACATGAATTGTGCTTCTACTGTGTACAGTTTGAGCTGACAGTTTAAACTGAACAGTTCAAACTGTACGTATGTGGCCGGCCTTAACGAACGTTAATGCTCGGTAAAAAGTCATTCAGTTCCTCTGGGGAGATAAACTGCGACTCAAAAATGGAGAATCTGATACGATTAACAGCAGGGCAGTGGCATAAAACATACTCAATGGTCTTCTCGTCCTCCGCATATAGTCGGCTAGGCCCAACAAATTGAGTCTTTAATCGGCAGTGGCCAGCAAAGACACCCATTAGCACTTTAATGTTGCAATGAGCAAGTCCTAGAATATTCCCGGGTTTGACAGTGGCGTGTCTCATTCCAGGAGAACTGGTCCACAGTAGGCGAAGTCTCTCTTCAGCCCACAGTGCAATGCAATCCTATGTTTGGCCATAGCAAATGCTGGCCAAACGTATCTTGCCCCACAAACGCTTTAGCGCTGCCCTCTCGTGCTAGCTCAACTGCCGCTTCATTGCCAGCAACCCCAGAGTGACCTGGGACCCAAATCAGAGAAACTCTGCTATCATTGTGTTTAAAGTTCTTTTAGAGTCATTAACCAGAACCGACGCTGTTTTCACGGCCTGCAGCGCCTGGAGAGCGGATTGACTGTGTGAGAAAAATCGTACTGTCTGTTCTTCACCCCTCTCTCAAGAAGGATTTTAGCACCCATTTCAATAGCAAATACTTCCGCCTGAAATACAGTACAGTATGTACCCAGGCTGTAAGCTTGTTTAATCCAAAGTGTCTGGCAGTATACTCCTGTCCCGACCCCTTTCAGCGTTTTTGATCCATCTGTGAACATACAAATTTCTGCCTGAAACTACTTTTATTATAGTTAATCTATTATATTGAACTAAAACTAGAACTAACACCAGCACCATAACCATCTAGAGAACTTCCAACTTACTGTTTTATTAAATGAATTACAAATATAAAGGAAATAAAAGATAAAACAACAACTGTTATTAATAAAGTATATTATTTTTATACTAGTTTCTTAAATATGCAAAAAATAATTTTAATTAATTAACATTTTAAATAAAACCAAGATGAAAAAGAATTTATAAAGATAGTTTTTTCTTGATATCAAGAATTAATTTACCATCAATTTTACTATTACTATTGCAAGGAATACGAAAAGACAAAGCAAATCTAGAAGATGTCTCAAAAAAGGTTTTGAACATAATTCGTTCAAGATGATTTTTCAAATATACAAGATAGGCACCAAGTTGAGATGCTTGAGATTTTCTTTGTTGAGATAATGGCCGTTTACCCCATTTAGATGTCTTTATGTTCCCAAAACAAAAAAGATAATAATAAGATAATAAAAAAAGAAAGAATTAAACCAAACCTTGTAAATGTTCATAAAATTTTCAGGAAAATTAAAATAATGTTGAAAACATTGTCCAATGCTTCTTGTACAAATTTTTTCTGGATCTTTTTCAGTTTTTTCTTGGATACTTATATCAGCACATAAAGTGTCAAAAATATTATTAAGATTAATGTTATGTTGGTTTTTAAGTATTCCCCAAGGTAATCTCGAGTCATGACAAACTTTTTTTATATGATTACTTTCTAAAATATCTTTCAAATCATTTGGAATTCCAAAAGATTGTATATCAAAAATATATACTTGATCCCAAGATGATATCACCAATAAACTCAGTGGATCAAATTTGTCATACGAATTTGTAATAGCAGCAATTCCCAGATTTTCGCAAGTCTTTAAATGTTTTATTGCTGAATAATAATTAACATCAATCATTGGAAGGTAAATGTAGTTTTTCGTCATTAATATTAAATCCTCATAATCCTCTTTGGGGATCGAAATTAACGTTTTGTTTGCTTCTATATAACATTCACCATTAGTTATTTCACCATTTTCTTGGGGTTTTTCTTTCACAACGCGTACAGATTTAATTTCCGACTGATAATATGAATATGGCCCTTTCGAAGAGTAATCAGATGAATAAATTTTTATGTTTATTAGATCCAAACGACTTTTACCCCCATTATAAAGCGTTCCTTCTAAGATATCACCATTTACTAACTCCACAACTAATTTAGATCCTCTTTTAAAGTTATAATCCGCTAAAGCAAGCATTTTTATAAAAGGTTTGTATTTAAAACATAACCTCAAATTTTGCGAATTATTTGAAATAAAATTAATGATTGTTTCTTTCGAATTTATAACTTTTAAAATGTGTTGTTTAGTTTGTAATAATTATATTAAATTTGATAATTGTTTATGAATAAAAACGCTTACAATAAAATGTTATCAACTTCATGATCAACACAAGCTAAAATTGGGTGACAAATTTTGATGTTAAAAAAAATTAAACTAAATTGATTATATTAAATATTATAGTTTTTTTAATTGTATTTGTATAAAATTACTTTATAAATATTATTATAAATAAAATTAAATAAATTATTTTGACATTCCGCCTAACTTCACGGTTATTATTGTCTTGTCACTTTACACGTTTTGAGTTAACCTCAAAACGCGCGGTTAATTTATTTAGTTAATTTTTGGTTTAATCATGCCTCCAAAATTCTCAAAATCCTCAGGTTTATGGGTGCATTGTGATACATGTTCCACTGCTTTTCTCCAAAAAGATGCCGAGCTACATACCACCGATTGTCCGCCTGACGACAAAAACCACACATACGATTACATTAAAGATTCCACCCTTGTTAGTACGTTAGACGTCAAGAGTAATGAAGATGTTAAATCAGTAACACAACTGGATAGAGATCATATGGTATTTATGAGCCAAA